CATTATTAACCATTAATTAACCATTATTAACCATTATTAACCATTATTAACCACCAGCCCATTGCATGAAAGCCCCTCTCAGGGGGCTGGATCCCCATGATGGCTCAACGTGGCAAAGCTGACACCTGGCTTCAAGTATATACACCCACACATGGAGAAATCACAATGAATTGATAATATGATAATAATATGACAATGACAATGATGATAATAATAAAAAAATGAATTGACAATGAAAAAATAAGTAATAATATGATCTTTAAGTATAACAAAAATACATAAGTAATGGCAATGATAATAATATGAATTGATACATATATACATATATATATATATATTGTGAATATATGAATGTATAACATGTATCACTGGATATAAGTAAAGATCGATAAATGTAATTTAAATATCAACAACTGTTACAATCCATTCTATATATACAATATATATATATGAATATCAACAATGAAACTGTAAGCTACATCAAACAATATCAATATAATTGAATAGATATCTTAGATGGATACATATCTACTATAATAAATACATACTATAATAAATACATAGTATAATATAATATAATATAACATTTAATATTATATGGAAAAAAAATAAATATAATATAAATATAAATATAATATAATCTAAATATTTTATATATATATAATATTATATGATATGTTACTATTACTATAAATGCATCCCAGATACCACCCCCCATAGCCTGCAGTTCAGGCTCCACCTGCGGTGAAAAGACCACCGCCTCCACCGCTCGCCAGGCCAGTAACAGGCGCAGCCACCGCAGCTCCAGAGGCGCCACAGCCATGGCGTCACGGCGGAGTTTTGGGGGATGAACAACCCCGAAAATCGTCAGCTGGGTATGGGTCAAGTCATTAGGTACCCCAAAATTATGGATGGTTAATACATGTTAATACTAAACTAGACATTCACATCTGTGGTCCCCTAGGTCTTCCATTTTGACCCACATCCAGCTAGTGATCTGGATATCTGCTGGGCGAAAAATCTGAATGATGGAGTGAAAGGCTGGGATGATGAAAGTCCCGACTGAATGGAAAGTCAGAAAAGCCATGTTCCAAACCACCAACCAGTGATTGTTTTTTGGAAGATGCTTTGATGTTTTTGATACTGACTCCTTGTTGTTGTTGAGATTTTGTGTGAAAAATAGATCGGTAAGGAAATATGCTACTTTTAGTACCCCAAAGTTGATAGTTGATCATCATTTTCCAGTTTCCCTATCCCAAAACTGCAAGTTTGACGTGTTTTGGACAAACCCATACTGTCAATCTTTTGTGGGGGTTGCTAATGCTCTACAAGTCTTGGTACTCTAAAGTTTGGGTGGGGTGAGGTGGCCGGAGATTTTGTTGATGATTTTTGTTGATGAATTTCTCTTGGCTTTGCTGGGGTCCGGTGGGAGGAAGAAATAGCTGTCTGAGAAAATGCGTGGAATGCTGCCAAGTATAGGTCAACTTGGGATCGAACCTGATGAGATGGAGAAGAAATGTGCTGCACATGGTCAAAAGGACAACTAGCGAGCAAGAAACATCTCAGACCAAGCCTATCTCACAAACTTGCGCGGAAGACCTCACTGTGGCTCTGTAGGTTGCACTCAAAGGAAAGTGTGTTCCGGTGTGTTACATGGGGCCCCATGTCTTCCCTAGTGGGCTAAAAAGTGGAAAACGTTCTCCCGCTTGATGTGGTGGATTGTTGTGGCTGGGTTGTGGGTCGTTCCAAAATTCAGCTCAAAAATGTGGCACTTCAGCTGATTGTCTGGGGGGTTGCCTCAATAATGGGGAGCCCGCAGCTAATTGGCGGTTTGCCTGGACCTACATGGACGCTGCATGTCCGAAGTCCAAAGCTTCTGAGCCAACACGGATGCGGGCATAATCTGACTCGTTTGTACTATGTTGATACTGTAGGATGTTTCACTCATGGTTTTTCAGGTTTTTCCAATTTCACCTATTATATGATATGTTCTATCAGGAAACTGGTTCCCAAATGAAGATCTGCTCTGCAAGTATCGCAACCAGTTACAAGAAAACACATCCAAAAATGCAGAGGGAATGACTGGGACGAATGGAATAGCCAACTGTTTTCCAGCACATCTAAAGCGCCGGAAAGCACAAACCAACGCGCTCAAAATTTATGAATGAGGTGAAAATCACCGTTGATTTGGTGCGTTTAGTACACTCTGCTATCCTAAATCTGTTGGTCGCCCAAGTTTGACGCATTTTTTTTCCGAGCTTTGTCTTGACGCCTTATTTGACAACACAGCCACCAATTGTGTTTTCTCCTTCCACTTTTCTGAGCCAGATATGTAGCTTAAATATCAATATCGTAAATTAATCCAAGTGGCTTGCTTCGATCCCCCCTATTTTTTCCTGGCCATCTCATTTTCGCTGATGAAATTCACATGCTCTTTGCTTACTTCCCATTTTGATGATAAAAACAGCTGGTCAAAGTCCCATTTCACTGACACTTCCCCCAGTTCAGCACGCTGAACGGTGCCTCCGAGCGCACTCGCTTGTCGGAGCTGCAGACCGTGGCGTTCACGATTTCGTTGAAGGTGATGCAATTCCTCGTGCCCACTGGAGGATCCAACCCTCCGTTCCGTGACATCTTAGCTGCCAAAAAATCTCATATGTTTAGCTGGTGAATGGACTCATTTTAGCCAAAGATTAAGGTACCATTGGTATCTAACAAAGGTTGATCCAGGCTTTTTCCACGACTTATGAATCTTCAACAAGCAAGAACCAACATCAACTTAAGACAAAGAATGTGTCTGTGAAAATCATGGACAGGCCGGTTTGCAGATGTTTGCTCTAGGGGCTTAATCCCTCTGTTGCTCAAGGAACAAGTAGGACAAGAACGTCCTTAGCGGATTTGCTACTCAGCAATTTTTCGGAGTACAATATGCTACAATGATCTGCGACTATCTCGAACTGGATTGTTCAGTTGGATGATATTGATACCCTCTGGTAAGCTAACAGAGCTATTAAAAATGGTGATTCAAAGTTGATTTTCCCATTAAAAATTTAGTGATTTTCCATAGCTTTTTGTATGTTTACCAGAGGATATACTGGATGTCTTAAACCACACCCTCTAGATCCATTGAGTTGGATGTGTCTTAAACCCAGCTAAAAGCCTCCATTTTTTTCGTGCGGGGATTTTCCAGCCACTCCCTGAACAAGGCCTGTGCTAAGTGTCAGCGGAAACTCATTGAGTGGACATCAATGGGCCATAAAAATTTGACGACATGATGTGACATGGATGTGGATAGAACATGATAGAACCCACTTGGATGGCTTAGTTGTTCTTTAATTCAAATGGTACATTACTTGCTAAAATTGGATGGCACATGTTGGACGTTCTACTGGTTTTGTTACAAATTATGATAAAAATTGGAGAGTAAGATAAATTAATTCATTCCCACAATTGGATATTGATATGAATTGTGTATTTGCATGTATTTGCTGCGTAAACCGATTGGTGAAACTCCCACTTAGTAACTAGATGTAATTAGTAACCAGGCTTATATATATAATCCATGTATAATACATGGATAATCCCACTGAATGGGGACTGACTAACTAGGGGTATTCACCACTTTCGATTCATAGGATAATCCTCTTTCGGTATCCCTACACCCAGTGATTTTCCTGTGGGGTTTCCAATCCATGGGGGTAAACTCAATACATCCATTTTATGTTCGGAGTTTCCATGAAATAAACCATCCAGCGATAAAGCGGTACCCCCATGACTTAGGAAACCTCCAAGTAACATACTTTCATCTACCATCAGATCTGCATAGTTAAAGGCTTCAACACTTAACCGAGGGCAGATGCCATGATGTCATAGATTGGCTGTCTTTCAAAAGGGATGCACGTCAAAAACATTCAAAAAAAGCGTGGTGTCCAAAAAGAAATGCAAAGAGATTGGAGGATATCTTGGGGTCCATATGCCATAACTCAAGAAATTTCATGAAATTCCGATATCTACCCAACCAAGGTGTGGTATGACATGGTATCATTTAACCACGGACCCAAAAAGGCCACCTTATAACTGGAGAAGACCGCCTGTTTTTTTAGGCATCCTTCCATTTCCTCATCATTCCTCCATTTTCAAGGGCTGGATGCATCACCAAATTGTTTTGAAATCCCAAACAAATTGGTGTTTATAGAATTTTATAGAGATACCCTCTGGTAAACTAACATAATTAGCTATGGAAAGATCCACCATGCTATCAATGGGTAAATCAACTATTTCTATGGTCATTTTCAATAGCTATGTTGACATAACCAGAGGATAGAAGGAAGCTGTTTGCATCATTCGTGGAGAGCTTTCAGAACGTCATCGACTTCCATCATGGGCCCATCCCTGGTCATGACTTGAGCTCCCCGACGGCTGAAGTTTTTCTTCCTTTGCCGTGAATCAGTGGATGACTGGATGTTCGGCGCTGGTGGCGGCCTATCCATATATCTAATCTGGTCTGATAGATATATCTAGCAATCCATGACGATATGGTTTTATAATACTGATTCTATATAGCATATATCTATTTATATCTATCTGATTATATCTATCTAGCATTATCTAGCTATATCTAGCTATAGACATTTGGTGGCACATAGACGGACCGGCGGTCCTGATTCTGAATGGTTTTGATGATGACTCATGACTTACTCTTTTTGTCTTTGTTGGAGACCCCGATAGGTGAACAATACACCGGTTACGCTACTGACCGCTACTGTATTTCACTGTCTTCCAAATGAAGAATCAAACCAAATCTAGGGAGAAACTCTTGAGAGTCAGAACTCAGAAAACACCCACATCCAGTCACATCCATGATAACATCCATGATAACATCCATAATAACATTCATCCATGATAACATCTCCGGAATTTAGACGTCCCTAAGCCGCGGTTCAACATTGCAACGTTTCTCCCAGCCGCATCCCAGCCGTCGGGAACTTTCGCCAAGACGCTCGCATTTCATCCACCAATGCCCTGGCCTTCTTCATGTTGCCAGCCTCGCCACTGGATGTTGGAAGATGTTGGTGACATGTCTGACATGTGAAAAAGTTTACCCTCTGGTAAACTAACATAGCTATTGAAAATGGCCATTTATAGTGGATTTTCCCATTAAAAATTGTGATTTTCCATAGTTATGTTAGTTTACCAGAGGGTAACCCCCAAAGGACGCCGAAAAGCAAACTCCGACTCTAATACTATAGAGTACTGTAAATCAGTGCGCATACATGTCTATCTTTTTGGGGCTTACTAGACCTAAAACAAAATGTTGTCAACTAATAAGATTCACTGGCGGTTTGGGTTGGTGCCTTGGAGACCCCCACGGCCAAACATGTGTGAAAAAAGTGGCTTGAACATGCTTGGACCACAACCAAAGATGCCATGAATCGGCCCGAAAACTTGGTTCTATAAACATGCAAAAAACATCCGATGTACCCTCTGGTAAACATACAAAAAACTATGGAAAATCACCATTTTTGATGGGAAAATCCACTATAAATGGGCCATTTTCAATAGCTATGTTAGTTTACCAGAGGGTAACTGGCTTAAGGCTTCATCCTGGAAGTTGCGAGCTCAATGGCTCAATGGTAAAGAAAAAGCCCTCGTTCTTTTCGGTCAGCTTCACTGGATGTTCCCCGAAAGAATAAACGTAGAACAGCAATCCCCCAAAAAGATATAGAAATTCAAATATACCATCTGGTTATTTAACATAGCCATGGAAAATCACCATTTTTAATAGGTAAACCATCTATAAATGTGCCATGTTCCATGGCTATGTTAAATAAGCAGATGGTAACTTAAGTAGTGACCATTTACAGTTCTATCTTTTAGCGCGTTGCTCTACATTGTAACATCCCCCCAACGAACAAATTCGCCCCACCGCGCGGACAGCTGGTTTCTCGGACTTCTAAAACGGAAAACTGGGAGCCATTCTCAGGATCAAAGTCGTACTTGGGAGGATCAATTCCCACTTTCGCTATATATCAGACTACATCCCCGTTTCTGTGAACAGTTCTATCATGTTCTATCCCAATTACGCTGAGTAATTGTAATCCCCTCCCCCTATCACATCACATATATCCCCAAATCAAAACCTTGATTTCGTATTGGATCTGTTCATTTCAAGGGGCCCTTGATGGGGAGTATTTGATCTGGTTGGTGGTTTCAACCCATCCAAGAAATATGCTCGTTACTGGCAATCATCATCCCATAACCACTGTATTTGCAACCACCAACCAGTGTCAGGATTGTTATATCACCATTCTATATTTGCTGAATCTGCATACACTATAGTTTTTTGTTGGTTAAGCCATATCTTCCAAGAAATTGTCCCAACCTTCTCTGGTTCTATAATAATACCCCAAATCGAAACCTGGTAGAATGTACTGGATCATCATCTAGGGGGCACAGTGGCACAGTCATGTGGCGTATTTAATATTAGTAGGGGGATGGTGTTTTTTGTTGGTTCCCAGCCCTGCAAAAAGATCAACTTCTAGCCCACGGAACCACCATGACACTCACCATAACTTTAAATCTCATCAAATCCAATGAAATCCCCCAAAAAACAACCTAATTATTACTAATTATTGTTTGCATTTGTTTGTTTAGTTAGTTGACTCTATGAAATTCCCACAAAAAAAAAAAGAAAAAAAACATCCCCCTGGTGTGAAACACCCCAATTGCATGGTCCCAAATGGTCCCAACTGGAAATTCCCCAGTCAACCATATATAGTTTCTGGCTGTGAAATCTTATTCAAAAAAAAATTGGGGATTTCATTTCAGACCCAGAAACTATATGAATAATCTTATTCATATCTATTACACAGTTTTTCTTCATTTCCACCATTTCCCGACCCTAAAGACAGACAGCACCCCACCTGTAGCTGGGCTTTGATCAGGGTGTTGTAGCTCACCACGTCAGACATCCCCTGCGCCGTGTTTCGGGACGCCCAACGAGACACGGCAAGGAGTCGTGGAGGATCATCCAACTCGATAGTGGAAAAAACCCATCGCAAGTGGATGATCGTTCGCCACTGTTTTCAAAAGCCATAACGTCCTCCCTTGATACTGGTTGATTAGTAGGAGTTCCCATAGATAATTCTAAATCTACTAGGATATATTGAATATTAGGAATATACTGTAACCATGTGTAACCCCATATCATCAATATCATCAATCAAGGATGGATCGCAGCCATTGTTCACTTACCACAGTAAGCCGCTGACCCTGCGGACCATCCCCAGGTTTCTCGGAATCTGAGTGAGCGGACATCTTTCTTCATCTGCTCCATCCAGGACTGCGCTTTCCCCAATTGCGAGCACTCCACGCAGGCCTGGTTTTGTCACATTTTGTCACGGTCCAAGAATAGGGGATCACCCCCCAAAATAGCCATTTCAATGTAAACAAAGTACTACTTCTTTGGGGAAAACACGATTAAGTCGTCATGTAGCATCACCAATTTTGATGAACAAAACCTAGATCCCCATATGTTCATGATCAAAACCCCCCAAAAAAAATGCCGATAAATCATCCATCATCAACCAGTTGGATTTAAATCTCATGTTCCATCATTTTCCATCATGTTCCATCATGTTCCATCATGTTCATGGTTAAAGATCATGTAAAATCACCATGTTCATGGTTGAAAATCATGTAAAATCACCATGTTCATGGTTAAACAACAATAAAAATCATGTAAAATCACCAATGGTGTTGCTTCAATCCCGCACCAACTTAGTTCCCCACGTCCAGCACCGTGTTGTACACCACGGAATTCATCTCCGCTCCGCTCTGCTTCAACGACTCGAAGACGTTCATGGCCTCGAAACCGACGAACAGCGAGCTCCGAACAGCGAGGCCAGCGAAACGGCCGGCCAGCGGCGGTTGGGACCGTTGGGACCTGTTTAAGCGGACACCATTTTTTTGCCAAATATCATCAGTATATGTACCCTCTGGTAAACTAACATAGCTATGGAAAATCACCATTTTCAATGGGAAAATCCACTATAAATGGCCATTTTCCATAGCTATGTTAAATTACCAGAGGGTATTGTAAGTATGTTTCAGGAATTGTACTGATACATGCTACTTTGCATGAATTTGCCTCATAGGAAATGACTAAGCAGAAATTGATATTGACTCAAATTGAAGTGAACATTGCATATGTCATACGAAATTCTGGGGGTTGAATAGGATCCCATCCCGTTTGAGCATAACCCACAAAGGACCACACAGTGAATCGGTTTTTTTGGGTTCGATGTTCGCTGAAACCACGTCTTTGGTTGCTTAAACCCATACCCTCTGGTTATGTCAAAATAGCTATTGAAAATGATCATTTACAGTTGATTTACCTAATATAAATGGTGATTTTCTATAGCTATGTTAGTTTACCAGAGGGTACCCTGTTGTTTCTTTTTTTGGGTGTGGGGCCGAACAAGACACATCGGTGCTCAGTAAATATCCCAAGTGTTCGCGAATCTCCCATTGAAATCCTATACTAGATCCATTTAATCCATTATAACCCAACGTTTCATGGTTTCACCAAACCTATTTTGGCTCAGTTTCTTCGCCAGCATTTTTGGCTTGCTTCAATACCAGGTTTCCGTTCATATCTCATGATATCCCATCTATGTCAGTTAAACCAATTGGTCAAATCCCTTAAAACCCCCTTGATGAACTCCAAAAAACCACTTGAAACCCTCCAACACCTATTTTCCAGGATATTTTTCTTTGGCCTCTTTGAACCACAAAAAATCCACCATTTTCAACCCTTCCATTCAGGATCTCATCTCCAAACCCAGCGACGCCCTCGAGGTTCTGCTCGGCCGCGCAGTTGCGGATCATGGTGATGTGCTTCGCCACATCGGACCTACGCCGTCGCGGAAGACACATGGGATGTTTTTGACGGAGATTTTTCACGGTGATCCAACGGTGATTTAACGGTCATTTAACATCATTTAACGGTGATTTTTCATGGTGATCCAATGGTGATTGAATGGTGATTATATGGATCCAATGGTGATTTTCCATGGTGATTATATGGTGATTCTATGGTGATTTATTATGGGATGGCGCTCTGGATTGCAGAATTAATATGTCGAATTCTGAATAGCCTCTGGGAAACTAACAGGAGATGTCACCAGCACCCATTTCCGGTTTCTCATTGGGGATGAGGGATGAATCCTGGGCATACCCGTTTTAACCCATCGTTTGCCAGAACAGTAAGTCATCTTGAACTACTTACCATCTAGTCTATGAACTGATATTAACATATATTAACTGTTTACCCAATGGCTTCGCATTTGTAAACCACAAACTCTGAAACTGATTGTGATTTCTGCCATTGGGTCTACCACATCCTCCAGGTTTGGGGCCCAAGAAAAGCACAGAAACGTATGTTTTCAATGGCTTTGGGCTACACTTTGCAACAAAAATGAATCAGAGTTTCCACTTGATTTTCCATATTTTCATGGATTTTCATGGATTTTCCATGGATTTTCCATATTTTCCGACCACTTGGAGGTTGCTCTCCTAGGTTTTTGCGCTCCAACCGCGCCCACTACACACGTTCCACATAGTTCCCACTGTTCCACTGGGCCGTCGTGACGGATTTTCGGACAGCAAGGACTGTGCCTGGCCGAAACCAGGATGGTTACCCTCTGGTAAACTAATGGTTGTAATAATGGCTATATAATGGTTATGATGCTTTTTTCATGGTTATCATATCCCCATAATTATGGTTACCATCTTTAACAATTTTTAATCAACCTGTAGTGATTTAATGTGGGTAACACAATAATTAATGGTTAATAAATGGTTAATAATTTTATTAATAATGGGTTAATAATGTGGAGGATCCGAAAATGAGGAAAGGATGGTTACCCTCTGGTAAACGTTTACATAACTATGGAAAGATCCACCATTTTTAATAGGTAAATCAACTATAGCTGGGCCATTTTCGGTAGCTACGTTAAATTACCGGAGGCTATAAAATGTTACAAACCCCCATAAGTTGGGATATGGTGCCCAACTCAACTAGTGTTTTTTATGTTATATATATATCCACTGGAATCGCACTTCCAAGAAGCGATTTCCCCTAATGTATAGTGATGTTCCCCAATATACGGGCATGAGATATCAGACAAGAGTGGGTTCGTATTTAGTTGAGTTTATCCAGTTTCTTGGGGTGTGAAATACGCAACTGGGCTACCTTCCAGAGACAATCCAGCAATGTTCCTCCACCTCACATATTTCAAATCGCCACATCTGGTTCACAATCCTTTCTCGTCCATATTGAAAAAAACAAAGATCCCCTGAAATCCACAGTTTCCGAAGCTAGAATTGCCCCAAAACTCCCCATCGCCCCATCCAGTGGCCCCTGTTTTTCCTCAAATCTGTCGGTCTCAGAGCTTGATGACCTCCCAGGTGGTTCCCGTCGCCAACAGCCTGTCGAAGAGGCCCTCCCCGCAGGCCGCGGCTGGGGAGTAGACGCCACCCGCCTTTTGAGACTTGGGCAGCTCCACCAGGGCCAAAGCGGCTTCCACGCACATGCGCGCCGTGTCCTTGTAGCCTGGGGAAGCTACAAAAAGGTGAGCTGTAACAAGGTGCCAGTAAGTATTCATGGCTAATTATAATATGCTATAACTGTGGGCTGTTAACCTCCATCAGTTGGGATATAACATGATATAACCCATTAATGGCTATAATGTGGGCTGTTAACCTCCATCACTTGGGATATAACCCCTACAACCCACTTTTCTCAGTGGAACTGCACTCCCTTCTGTGTTTTTAGTGTAACAGCCGCTGTCCGTCCAAAATAATCCGACGGGTTGAGAACGGCAGTTCCAGTTCAATGATCATCCCCTTCCGACCAAAAAAGACAGGCGGAATTTGGAGAGAAGGAATGGTACAACCGTACAATGTGTCAACTCACAGGGTTTCTTTTCAGATTGCCGTTATAGAATGCGCCGTGTACACGAGGGACCGTGTTTTTTTTACCTTTCAAGCTTGAATTCGGCATGTGTCATGTTTGCATGCAGCCGTTTGGTAGGTTTGTGTAAGTGTATCATGTGATAATTCATGTAAATGGAGCGTCAGAAGGATCAATGTGTTCAGGGATGTTCAGGGTGGTTTAGCATCGTGTGTTATTTCAGATTTAATTTCCCTTATGTTTCATTCAGTAAATACCTATATGTAACATGTTCCAATGTACTGACCACGAGTTTGATGTTTGTTGACGCAGTAGAGAAAAGCGGGGATGAAGGCCAGAAGTCGGGACAGACATGTCAACCATGGGTCCAAGTTTTAACATACAACAGCTGTGCCGCCACAACTCCAAAAAACATAAAGAAAGAGGGGCGAATGCAGTGCATAGACGGACTGGGGATGTACTATAAGATTCTCAAAAAGTAGAGAGAAAATGAAAGTTGCGTCCTTGATGATTTGTTCTTCCCACATCAAGGCCAAGGAACGTTATTACCCCCCCACCCCCCATGTGTCTTGGAAAATAAGAAGACGCTGCATACATTTGGATACACGGTTCGTGAGGTCTATGTGGATTCCAGGAAAACTCAAGCCGTGTCGCCAGGATCTGTGTAGAACTTCATGACAGCCTTCATCTTGGCCTCTTTGTTCTTGGTCTCCGCATATCCTCGGGTGGAGCTTCCTCATGTGAGAAGGAAAAAAAGATACCAGGGGAAAACGTGTATGGACAAATGGTCAAAAGAGAAGAAACAAGAAATAGATACATATCTATAATATACGAATATATATGTATACTGTATATCAAATAAATAAACATATCTGGTTGGTGGTTTCAACCCCTCTGAAAAATATGAAAGTCAGTTGGGATGATGACATTCCCAATATCATGGAAAGTCATAATCCAGTCATATTCCAAACCATAAACCACCAACCAGACATATATTCCCAGATGCTCCATGTATAGTATATTTATCTACATTTGGGCCATTTGTTGGGTAAATGTAGGTAAATATTCCATACATTGAGCATATGGGATTGTGTGTATATGTATAATGATGGAATGTCCAGATCTGACCCTTTGGACCCACACCAAGCAGCCCGTGAGGGTCAGGAAGCCTTTCTCCATCTCTTCGGCACTCGGACCGCTGCCGGGTTCGGGCAAGACGCCCATCTTGTACCACAAGCTCTGCGTGAAGGGCAGGTAAACCTCCATCGTTTTGCCAGAAAAGGAGTTTGAAAGCACAAAAATGTGGATCATTGTGGATCGTTTTACCAAGAGTTCGTTTCACCAAACAACTTTAGATAGCTGATTTCCAGAGTTTGCCAGGAAATTGCGGAGTTTTGCCAAAAAATGGATCTGACCAGGGACAATTTTAGGTGGTTTATTTCACTAAGAAAACTGCGATGCCACTGTGCGTTTCACCAAACAAAACATGATTTAACCAAGAGAAAGCTGAGATCTTACCAAAATTGAATTTGAGTAGATGAAATTAGGATTTAACCAATGAAACTGGGTTGGATAACTGATTTATCCAACAGAGAGGTCGACAAGGGCCATGGTTTCACAACCACCAAACTTGGGGGTTCCACAAATAAACTTTGTGTTTCTATGACCAGGAATTTCCGACATGACATGGTACAGTCATATAGATGTTTTGTGGGGTGTAAAGTTGTTTTTAGCCAAGTCACGGTCCAGGTGGAAAGCCAAGCATTGTATGGTTCTAAAAGTTCGGTATGATGGGACAACCAAACACAATGAAATATGGGCTATATTTACTGGTTGGTGGTTTCAACCCCCCTGAAAACTATGAAAGTCAGTTGGGATCATTATTCCCAATATGATGGAAAGTCATAATCCAGTCATGTTCCAAACCACCAACCAGTTATCTATCTTTGGTTGGACCAAACAACTGCAATATGCTTCGATAGATAGCCCACCTTGGTGGCGATCAAATTCAGCCAGATCTATGTTTCGTAATATTGGGCATTGCTTTGAGGGAAAGCAACGGAAATCGTACTACAAGTCTACTACGTAAGTACAGTATGTTCATTGGATATCATTAGATATCATTAGATATCATCTTCTGGATAAGCTCATCTTTCCTCTATGTGATATCATCTGGATAACCTCATCTTTCTATGTACATGGTGCTAGCTACCAACTATGATCTGTGGTTTTTTGTTGGAACGATGTGCGTTCATAGGATACCCCCATTTTAGGTCCATCGGATTCGTTGATTCGATACTTCCAAGGGACAGCAATGCCCATAGCCATGGTGGATAGAGTCGACAATCCAAAATCGCTGCTCTCCTTGTGGCACTTTCCGACAGAAAAAAAACGAACCAAGCCGGTTCTGCACATGGCGTTTCTGATTGACACTTACCCTCTGGTAATTTAACGTAACTATTGAAAATCACCATTTTTAATGGGAAAATCCACTATTTCTATGCCCATTTTCAATAGCTATGTTAAATTACCAGAGGGTAGTTGTGTTTCACAACTTCGTAGACTTTATTTTGCGTCCTGTAAATTTTCCCCGGGATATCCTACCGTAGACTGAGGAGTGTGGCGGGAAGTGTAAAATCGTGGAGTATGGAGAGTCAAGCGAAATGTGTGGAGCATCCCTAGTGGTTGCCATTCGGCTGGGATGTGACCTCAAGAATTTGGAGGCTTACGCTACGGCTACGTTCCTTCTTGGCTCTGATTCCAAACTGCTTTTTTTTCTCGTGTTGATACAAGTTGACACAGCCAGAACAGGATGATCCAAAGGATGGTCCAAAATGATCCAAGTCTCAAGCATAGCTTCGTGGTATTTGAGATCCGGCACCATCTTCAAAACTGCATTGGTACCTGAGATCCAGCAAAACAACAAAGCCCTGAGACTCTGCGGTGCGAAAAAAGAGCTCTGAAGTGCGTCAGTTGCTGGCCCACATACAGATCCACATTATGTATGTATATATGTATTGTATATGTATGCCTCTATAAATGTGTATGTATATATAATATATACAATGTAAATACATTAATTATATACCATATACTGTATACATTAAATTATATACAATATAGATCTAGAGATATCGAGAGAGAGAGAGAGCGCGAGAGAGAGAGAGAGAGAGCCAGACATCATATATGATAATGCTCTACATGTATGATCATATGTATACGATAGAATATACCACGAAATCGAATGGCTTATCATGTTGCTCATGAGAATTACCACAATTAAAGAGTTATACCGTACCGTTATACCTCATTTTCAGACACACCCATATCGTCCTTGCTATTGGTTGTCTATCCCAGAAACATACCCTGATATCCCATCATATTATTCGCAGCATGGCCGGTTGATATCCCCATCATATCCCAACTATGTCCATATTATTTAGCAATGGAATAGGCTTTGCTTGCCTTCTTTTTATTTTTGCTGAAAAGAAACATCTACGAACCCAATCTGGTTGGTGGTTGAGCCACCCCTTTGAAAAATGATGGAGTGAAAGTCAGTTAGGATGATTATTCCATTCCCAACTGAATGAAAAAAAAAGTTCCAAACCACCAACCAGCAATTATACTCCCATTCCAATTTACAAGTGTAATGGATGTACAATCCGTCAGATCCTCTGATGGTTATTGGTTACCCTCTGATAAACTGGTAAACTAACATAGCCATGGAAAATCACCATTCCAATATCTATAAACGGGCCGTTTTCCATAGCCATGTTACTTTGCTGGATGTAACTCATGATGTAGTTGCTTGAACCCTGATTTTTCATGCTTTTCTTCCGCTAGATCCCCTTTTTGCTGCTTATGTTGAGGCCAGGATTTTTCACCACGTAAACAACGCGTGAAGTGCGTTAAGTATTGCCTCGCGACGTCGCACAGCGTTGGCCATCACGGGTCCCATGATCCAAGGTCCACCCTTCTGGCCCGCTTCCTCGTAGTAGCGGCTGCCTGCCAAAACTGCCAGACCAGCTTCGAGTTCGCGGTAGACGTAGATATGAAAATCTATAGATATCTATGGAGTTTAGAAAAGAACCCAGATGTATACTTATATATATATAGAGATATCTATGGAGTTAGAAAAGAACCTATATAGAAAGACAATTCGATAGATATATAGATAGATATATATTGATAGTATCTATATGTATCTATTGGGATACAAGGTGGTGTCTCAGTTCGTTAGCGAACTCCAATGACTAGGGTTTATGGAGGATATGTATATATATATACACACACAACTACTATAACATACTAGAACTAATTACCTCCCTATTTGGGGTTTCCATACTTGGGGGGTACCCCAAAAATAGATGGTTTACAATGGAAAATCCCATTAAAATGGATGATGCCAATGGCAGAGAACGGAACAGGTTTCAATATATGGGGGTTTCTTCAAATGGGGGATCCTTAAAACCATAGGTTTCAATACTGAAATGACTAATTACGTGGATGATTAGGGGGTATCCCCATGACTTCGGAAAGCTCCGCATGGTTTTGAGTGAAAAAATGGGGGTCTGTGGTCATCCATCCCATGGAAATCCAAGCACATTTGAAAATGCTGGTTTAAGAATCAAAGCTAGCAAAAAAGGTGATCTAAGACACTATTTTTGAGATTCACAACAACTTTGGGGGTTTTGACAGCAGTTTTCCTTCTTTCCCCTCTCTAGGTATCACCTCTGGGCTGGCTTAAGTGGACAATACCTATGACTTGGGGCTGTGCCAAGTCACTGTGTAGAGAAGCAACTGAAATTTGTAGATTGAACAAACAGCACACGTGGAAACAATTGGGTCGTGATATAAGAAATGGTGTGGGCCCTGGGTTCTTGAAGTTTGACACAGAACCAGTTGCGGTGGGCGGTGGGCCCGAAAATTGACACTCAAAAAATGCTTTCTGTTACTGTACTACAGTATGTGTCAGACATGTATATCTCATAAAAACCTTTCTTCTTTCTTGGCACATAAAAACTCGTTCCGAAAATTCTGCACGCAACAATTGAGCAGTGTTCCCCAATACATTGAATCTATTGGGTAGTATGATCCCATATGGGGGGTTCTCAAATTGTCATTCTCCACCATGGTTTTCAATGCGACTAAATAGTCTAATGATTCTAATGACTGGATGATTTTGGGGTACCATGACTTCGGAAACCGCCATGACTTCGGTGAATCGCAGCCACTGCCCCCAGGGCGCCCATGCAGGGTGCCTTTGGGCAGGTCGACCTGGGTCAAAAACTCCGACTTCTTGCCGTCTGCCAGGTACAGAGGGTCGAAGCCCAAAGTTCCTGCGACGCCGTGGAGGATCAAGCTGGTGGTTGGGTCAAAGAATTCAGCGAGAAGGGAAAGTTGACAAGAAAACACGTCTTGTCAAAAAAACATATGGCTATGGATCGTTACCTATACATACCATTTTTAGGGGGATGAACATCCATTTACCAGCTATTTTGGGGTTCACTAGGTGCCAGGGTTTTGACCAATAGCCATATGACTGTACAACATTACTGTACCCTTAAATTTACGTCTGCCACCTGCATTGAGCCACCTGGGCCCCAAAGTATGAAATACCATTGAAAAAACAACCTGTACAGTCACGGGGTATGGGGATTCTCACCATGTGGGTCAGCCCTCCATTGGGGTTTTGCAAATGCCTGGATTTCAAACATCAGCCTTCAAGTGGGGCCTAAGCCCATTAACTATAATAATATATTTACCCTCTGGTAAACTAACATAGCTATTAAAAATTGCCATTTATAGTTGATTTTCCCATTAAAAATTGTGATTTTCCATAGTTATGTTAGTTTACCAGAGGGTATAATATACGTAGTTTTATGCTCCATAAAGACACCATAAAGACTATACAGTAGTTCACCAAGTTTGCCAGGTCCTTTGCTGGGCTTCGTGCGCATGCTCAGCATTGCCGTACTCAAGGTGCCTGCCAGGTTGAAAACGAGGCTTTCGAGGCTACAAAAAAAAAAAAGGTTTCACCACTTTGGTCTGTCCAAAAATGTAGGGATTTCGTCCTGATTTATGGATATGTGTGGATATGTGTGGCATGTTCAATTTGGAAGATTGGAATTTTCCACCAATCGAAATGTGACTCCAAGCAATAAGAACGCTTGTATGGAGGTAGTTACCCCTATGTTAATGGAGAGAAAGTGGCGGGAAGACATGGTCACTTTACGGTGGAGCCCCTTTTTTTAAAGCCATCTGAAACATTAAACAACCACTGGAGACATACCCTTGATTGCTGGTGGTTGCCTTGATTGTAGTGCAGGGATCCAGCCATTGGGGTACCCAAGAATGGACCGATTTATTAGAACCAAACATGACGTAATTTTAAGTGAGTCCCAAGGTCTTCTGTTTTGATCCATGGACCAATAGATACCAATAGATTTTGCAAATGCTTCTGTAGAATCCTGTCCCAGAGATGCTGGGATCCTAAAGCCCCAGTCCCCGGCATGGATCGTTTGACATACGCCACTAAAATTCTGAGAACCATGGAGATCTCAAGGATCTTGGCCACTCTTAACCACCAAGATGGAGATGATCCTCCTTTCCCGTTGGATATTCATGGTTAATGGTTTCATCTCACCAATGGCAATTTCAGGATCCTAGATTGGAGGTACCTACCATATATAAGGCCTATGTAAGGCCTATGTAAGGGAATATCCCCAGAAAATATGGCCTTATATGGTACAGTACCTCCATTTTAGGATCCTGAAATTCCCATTGATCTAACCAACGATGAACGGAGATGTGAGTATCACAAACTAAACTAACACAGATCTGGAACACCATTTAGCGACATGTTGTGTTTTCCTGCGGTTTCTCGGTTTCCCCATACGTTTTCCACATCGAACTGTCAACGTTTACGGGATCCATCCAGGGGAAGCATTTTTCACAGCGCACCTCCACTGGGCACACCTCGCATCTCGCCCAGGAGTTTGACTCCTGCAGCTGACCAACAGTTTGCGACATAGAAAATGGCCATTGAAAGTTCGTTGATTTACCCATTAAATAGTTGGTGATGTTCCAGAGTTTTTTGTATGTTTACCAAAGGGTAACCTATCAATAGATGATTTGTGCCGTTCGATCTTTTTGGGGTTGCCAAAAACCCCTGGCCCCCAACACGAATGGATCCAATCAGACTATAGTTACTAGGGTTTTAACATGTTATGTTAACGGTTGATTCCAAAAATCTATACAGTGAGATGGTGGGAAAAAGGCTCAGTTGCTACGCAATTTTTTGGAGCCACTGAACTTGGCAAATCAACAAAATAGATTTCGAACCACCCAAATTGGGGATTTCACCTGCAACCAAATCAGGCTTCTAATTTGTAACCAACAACTGATATACCATGTTCTTGATTATCCCCGTTAGATCCCCACTGTTTTCGCCAGTAGATCCACTAAAATCACCTAATATGCATACTCTTTCATGAATGTATCGGTAGTTTCATAAATGATATTCAATATACCCTTCTGGCTCCAAATTAAGATATCCATTCATATATCCATTAAATCCATTTCTCTATCCATGTTCAGTGATTTGGAGCCATCTGGCGGTGATTTCTGGCCCTTGATCTCCGATCGTCTCGTCTCACTGTTTCTAACGAAGCTAAGTTTTTGCAGCTGAAATCCTCCGAATCCTCTGAAATCCCAAGTGGTTACTGTCAACATCAGCATGTTTATGCATTTATACTGGAAGGAAACAGCCTGTTTATGTGTGTTTATGGGAAAAATCAGCATGTTTGATGTTATTTTTTCATGGGAAACTGACCATTGTACTGGGAAATGATTCGTTGTCCTCAATAAATCTCCTCCCCAACTCTCTTCCGCGGGCCTATCAGATCGCTACCATTCAGCTGCCACAACTTCCATACCATCAGGTCCCAGGGCACGCAGTCCTCGAGAGTTTTCGGGAGATTGCTGGATCTCATGAGATTTTTGGGGGATATGATGGGCCAATGGGATATAGTCCAACTATATGGTTTTTATGTATTATGTATATTATATATATATACATATGTGTATATATATATATGTATATATGTATATATATATATAAATATGTATGTATATATGTATGTACGTACGTATGTATGTATGTATGTATGTATGTGTGTAATGTGTATATGATATATATATATATATATGTAATGTGTATATATATATGTGTCTGAAAATGGTGTGTAACACCAATAACTATTTAAATACGGATCATGATGATTTAGCAGAAGATTTAGGGGATAGCCTGTTTTCAGACAAACCCATACAGAACAGGATAGCTGATCTGATCTTTAACAAAAAGGGTACTTCTAATATTGTCAAAATGATTTCATGATGTTGGGATAATGGGATAATTGGAACCAGGATTGAGTTCACAATATACATGTAATGTATATATATTTAATATATGGATACTGCTTGACTAATGTCCCCGATTTATCTCGATTTTGTCTAGATTATCAAAAAACGATGCTGCAATTAGAAAACCTGCCGCTGGACCTGCCGCTGGTGCTTTCGACCCACTTGAAACAGGTTGAAGTATCTTCAGTGGCTGTTCTCAGTTGCCTGAAAGGCCTTTGTTGGTTAAGGTTTCTATTCCAATTCTTGTTCAGCGCTAAATCATCTGACTTCAGGCTAAACTTAACAAAAATCAATAAGAATCACAAGTTTTACATCGTTGTCAAGTATTTTGAAGTTATATTCATCTGAATTCAGGCCTAACATCGCCTAACTTTTGCCCGTGTGTGTGCTGTTCTTCTGGCACTTGGACCACCCTCATCCCCACCTGGCCGCAATGCACAGCAATGCGTGCCCCACTCTGGCGCGCCACGGCGTCGTACTTCTCGATCATCTGTCCTGAGGGGTTTGGGTGGCAAAAAAAAATGATTGATTGAAATGATTAAAATTGAAATGATTTAGAAACCTGCCACATCAATCATTAATCACCCAATCATGTTATAGCTAATATCTGGTTATATTGATTGATTTCACTGGATTTTAACCTATAGCTGGCTTTGCAAAAACAGTGGATTTCACCAGCAAAGAGTGGAATGGTTCTACCATGGAATGGGTCAGAAGCTGATATTAGCAATCCCCAAAGTGAAGTTGGTAGAATCCGATGCTGAAATTCAGTGGTACTTTGCTGATATTTCCCCACCTGCCAGGTGAGGGTTGTTAGATTTTATGTCAGTTGCCTCCTCCTCCTGCTCCTCCTCCGCCTCCTCCTGCCTCGTCCTCCTCTCCTCCTCCTCTTCGTCCTCCTTGTCATCCTTGTCGTCCTTGTCGTCCTCGTCGTCCTCGTCGTCCTGGCTCAACTGCGACCCGCGATCCACAGTGTTCTCTGCCGGACCTCAACCACGACCACCCACGCCCAGCGTTCCCTGCCGGACCTCAACCACGACCACCCACGCCCAGTGTTCCCTGCCGGACCTCAACCACGACCATCCGCGCCCAGTGTTCCCTGCCGGACCTCAACCACGACCATCCGCGCCCAGTGTTCCCTGCCGGACCTCAACCACGACCATCCGCGCCCAGTGTTCCCTGCCGGACCTCAACCGCGAGTATCCATGCCAACTGTTCCCTGACATATCTTCTGACATATCTTCTGACATTTTATTTGGCATTCTATCTGGCATATCTTCTGGCATTCTATCTGGCAAATCTTCTGGCATTCTATCTGGCATTCTATCTGGCATATCTTCTGGCATTCTATATGGCAGATCTTCTGGCATTATATCTGGCATATCTTCTGGCATTCTATCTGGCAAATCTTCCGGCATTCTATCTGGCATTCTATCTGGCATATCTTCTGGCATATATTCTCACATATCTTCTGGCATTCTATCTGGCATATCTTCTGGCATTCTATCTGACATATCTTCTGACATTCTATCTGACATCTTTTCTGACATTCTATCTGGCATTCTATCTGGCATATCTTCTGGCATATCTTCTGGCATTCTTTCTGACATTCTATCTGACATCTTTTCTGACATTCTATCTGGCATTCTATCTGGCATATCTTCTGGCATTGTATATGGCAGATCTTCTGGCATTATATCTGGCATATCTTCTGGCATTCTATCTGGCATACCTTCTGGCATTCTATCTGGCATTCTATCTGGCATTCTATCTGGCATATCTTCTGGAATATCTTCTGGCATATCTATCTGGCATATCTTCTGGAATATCTTCTGCCATATCTATCTGGCATATCTTCTGGCATATGTTCTGGCATTCTACCTGGCAAATCTTTCCCTGCCGGACCTCATGTAGGAAGATATGGGACAAAGAATGTGCAGAAGAAAGTTAGAAAGAATTTCAGACAAGTATGTGATATATTACTTGCGAACTTGCAGGTGTGTGGTAGTGTGATCGGGGCAATGCCACTATTGACTTTGCGGGTGGCAAAGTTTGAAGCAATCAGTTTGAACAGATGACAGAGTCACTGGGGTGGACAGAGACATTTCCATTTCTGTACCTTTGGAGCTGTTTGCAAAGACGCTTGAGACAGGCAACATCTTACAGCAAGTTACTACAAATTATCTGTTGCAGACGTGGGAAGAAAAGTTTCAGAATGTGGCCGATCACACAACTGACGCAAAGACATTGTTCTTTGTGGAATTGGTGCATGCAGAGTTCAAAATTGATTTGAAACTAGGCGAGGAAACCCACAAAATTGAAGTGATTCGCTGGCAGTTCCCGCTTTTGCATGGCATGCTGCGCACTGCTTACAGCGCGCAAGGCTTGACTTTGGACGGAGGTGTGCTGGTTGATTTGCGTCGTGGTGGTGGCCTAGAGGATGCGGACTGGTGGCTAGCCATCTATGTCATGCTGACGCGTGCCCGCAAACTGAAGAATCTCATCTTGCTGGGGTTCACGGAGCAAGTGGAGGAGCTTTTACGCAAAGGCCCTCCTACCTACTTGCGAGAACTGACTGACAAGTTGGAAGCCAAAGCTGCTTCGACGCTGGAGCGGCTGCAGTCCTGGCCTGTCTATGATGCATTGCAAGCATCCTGACACAGTGCTCTGCCAGTGGGACCTAATCGGTTTTGATTGAAGAGGTCTGGTGGAGAAATAGAGAGTTGCAGCTGCAGCGATCTGATGAAGTAACACTGGCATGGTTTTGTCGAGTTTACACGTGAGCTTGCGAGCCTTTGACTTTGGTTCATGGTCCACTGGCTTGGTTCAGTCATGTTTGTACAAACATGTTTGACAGGCGGTGTGCTGACATGTTTGGGCATGTTTGTTTGTTTGGCTCAGGTGGTCCACTGCCCTGTTTGGTCATGTTTAAACAAACCTGTTGAGAGCTCTGGAGTTTACTTCACATGGTCCACTGACATGTTTATATCCTGTTTGACAGTCAAATAATTGGGATAGTTAGTTGGGCAAAGATATGTCAGAATGACCTGCACAATGACCTGCCAGGTGAAACAAATGATTGGGATAGTTAGTTGGGCAAA